CTCTGGGAACTCAGGGCCTGGCCCACAGTGGGATGGGAGGTTGGGGCAGGAGGCCCAGGCTCACCAGGGTGTTCCTCACAGCCCCTGATGCCAGGCTACCCCTCTCATGGTCGGGCCGCTGCCCCAGCCCAGCCAGGGCTGCCAAGAACACACCCTCACTCTCTGCCCCTCGCTGGTGGAGGTGGTTCCCAAGAGTGTCTAGTCGTCTAAATGTACCTCAGGGCCCCCTGAGAAATGCAGAATGGCCCCAGCTTGACCTGACCTGGGGCTGCCCTGTATTCATGAGACCAGAAGTCCAGGAAATGACCTCAATGTCAAAGTCCCGAGACACAGTCCACACAAGGACACAGGCTGCCTGAGGGCGGCCAGGCACACCTGCTTAGCCCATGAGGCCTCTGAGTACCCCACCCCCCACCCCAAGCACGGCTGAGCTGGGGACTCAGGTTACCCATGGCTGTGCTGGGTCAGGCCTCAGATAGAGCTTCAAGTGGACAGCCAGCCTCTTGCTCAGAGTTCTAGAGGCCCAGTGCAAGCGGGAAATCCCCTCAGCCAAGACAGCCACCACTAAGACTAGACATGGGGACACTGACCCAGAGGCTGCCCAGAGTCAGCAGATGGCCTAGGCTGCTCCCAGGAACCCAAGTACTTTGTGGCTCAACAGGGATATAGACCCGACAACCAGCAACCCTCAGGCAGGGGCGGGTGGAGTGACAATCCAGGGTCCCCAGTGATCCTTGATCTCTGTCTTATCCTCAGTACCCTGGAGAAGGGGTGCAGAGAGAGACTGTCTTGAGCCTCTGGAAACTTCTGCAGATCCCAACAGACCAATCTGTGTCCGTCCTAGAGTACCTCATTCCCCCCATGCTAACTACAGGGGGCCTACTGGGCAGCGGGGATTCTGCCTCCCTCCTATACCCCCCCCCCCGACCCCAGGCCCCATGAATCACAAGCCCTCCAGGCCAGCCCTGAGCACCTGCCTTCCACCGGAGGGGGGCAGTGGGATCCTGAGTCTGACAAGTGCCAAGGTAGGACTTCAGCTCACCCTGGGCCATGGACCTTGACCACCCGCAAGTCAAACACACTAAAGCACACAGGCCCAGGCCCAAAGTGGGGGGAGAAACGAAGACCCTCTCCTGCACACCGGCCAGCCCTCTCGGGCTCCTGGACAGGCAGCCAGGGACAGTCATTCGTTCCCAGCTCAGGCCACAGACAGGTGGGACGCACAGCAACCCGGAGGCGCGCAGGCACTGCCCCAGTCGCAGTCCCAAGAGTCCCCCAAGGCCCCCCAGGGCACGGACAGGTGCGGACACCGTCCCGGAGCACAGGCCCCCACGGCCCACTGACCCGAAGTCCTGGTCCATGGACTTGAAGAAGAATTTGTAAGCGTGCACGGGCCGGTTGCTGAGCACATTCTTGAAGTCGGCCAGCGTGACGCGCTCGGGCGCCACGGGCAGCTTGACCAGGTACGGCGTCTCCTCCTCGTCCATGTGATAGATGATCTTGGTCTCCGCCATGGCGCAGCGGCGGCGCGGGGCCCGCACGGCGCTCCCGGCCCGGCCCGGGGCTCGGACGCCGGCGCCGCCCCGCTGCCGGCCTGCGACCCGCCTGCCCGCCCGCCCGCTCCCGGCCCGGCCGCTACCAGGCCCCCAGCGCCCCGCCCGGCCGCCCCGGCCCCACCCGCCCCGCCGGCCCCGGCTCTGCTCGCGCCCCGGCTGCTGCCCCGCGGCCCGCGGCCGCCCATCCGCCCCGGCCCGGGGACGCAGGCAGGGAGGGCGCGCGAGGCCCGGCCGCGTCCGTGCGCCCCGCCGCCGCCGCCGCCGCCCCCTCGGGCCGCGCAGTTAAAGGGACCGCCGGCCCCGGGCTGAGCGCGCCCGCCGGGGGGCGCCCGAGAGCGGGCGGGGCCTGACGTCACCCGGCCGCCCGCGGCGCGGGGCGGGGCAAGGCTGCGCACGCGCAGAAGGGCGAGAGGGCGGGGCGCACGCGCGCGGGCGGTGGCGGGGTCGAGGTGGCGGCGGCGGCGGCGGCGCGCTGCTCGCGCGGTTCTCCTGGGCCGCGGGTCCCTGGCCCGGCACGCGGGGGCGTCCACAGCGTGCTCGGGCCTCACCCTACGCTGGGCTTAGGGTCTCGGTCCGTGGGCGGACGGGGGCGCGTACCCCGGAGGGAGGCGGCCGGCGACCCTCCGGATGCAACCCAGCTGTCAGAAGGGAGACCCCGCCCCAGGCAAACGCGAAGCCCGCCCCCGGGGCTCCCTGGGCCCACAGCAGAACACTGAAGCGTGGGTGGGCCGGGGTTCGGGTCTTCGGCCCCCTCGTGAAGGCTCCCAGGGTCCGCAGGTGCTCAAAATCCTATCGGCTGGCACCGCAGGCAGCTGAGGATACTCCGAGCCAGGCCCGGAGCCGACTCGGTCTCTGCGCCCCCGCGCCCACTCCGTGCTCTCGCGCCCTCTGCCGGGCCCCACGCAGGCCCCGAGAAACATGGGCCAAGTGCATGCGAGTGCTCGCGTGAACACGGGTATGTGCTGCTGAAGGTAACGGCGGAGGTCAGCACAGGCAGCGGTGCACACGGACGTGTGCATAGAGGTGCCCAGGCAAGGGGCTTCTGGTAGCAGGTGAAGAGATCCCCCGACCCCCACCCCTGCATCTGTCGATCCAACCAGCCTGGGGTCCTCTGTGGGCCAAGGGAGACACGGAGCAGTGCCTCTCGGGCTGTGGAGGATACAATCACTTGCTGTTCCCACTGGAGGTAAAGGGTCTCCCGCTCCCCCCACCCCCCCACCCATCCCAGGAGGAAGACTCGAGGCTTCTAGAGGGAGTCCCACATGGTGAGAGTGAGGAACAGGAGAGTCCCCAGGTCAGGACCTGGGAGTGATGAGGGGGTGCCCCTCCTGGCGTGTCCCCAGCACTCCCCCTGAAGCTGGCTGGAGCTTGGGGCTCTGCCATCTGCCTCGTGGCTGTCCCTGGAGGGTGGAACAGCACAGGAGAAAGCCCATCGGTCCACCGCTGACTGGAGGGGCCAGACTGAAGAAGGTAAGTCCCTGAGCCCAGGCTGGGGACCACCCCTAGATCAGCCTGGGCCAAGGGTGCTGACCTCCATGCCCCTACACTCCAACAGGGAGAGCGGGCAGAAATCTGCGAGGTTGGCATCCACGCAGCAAAGCCTGTGCCTTCTCCCCTTGGGACGCCGTTTCCCCAGAGGTAATCTAAGGAAGCTAGGCTGTATGGCCTTGGGTGAAGGGTCTGCCATGGCTCTCTGCTGGGTGTCTAGGGAAGGAGAAAGATAGTCCCAACCCCCACAGCTTGCCAGGGGACCAGCATCCCCCAGACCGGACATAAATGACTGCTGGTCACATACATGCAAAGGGTCCCACTTGCATCCACGCTTTGGCCCCCAAGCCTCTTTCTCACCAGACTGCCCAAGTCATATGAGACTGGGAGCCAGAGGCTAGAGACCGGTACCAGGGCGAACCCTGTTGTGTTTCGGCTGGCGCACAGTAAGGAGGGGTGACTTTGTGGTCAGAGCAGTGCAGCTGCTGTGGGGCCAGGGGTCACCAGGCTGGGAGGGAGATGCCTTATCAAGCAAGCCACAGCCCCCTGGCCCAGCCTGCTCCCTGCCTTTGCCACTGTGGGACCCCGGCAGGTGTGTGGTGAGAAACCAGCCATTCTGGGGTGCTGTCCAGGCATTTACAGAAAGACAACCTGCTTACAACGAGTCCAGACATTGAGCTAAGAGCCCCGCTTAGGACGCCCACCGCACACTCCTGCCTAGTGTTTCCCAGGGTACCTTTTAAACTGGCCATTCAGAATGGAGCCTACAAAGAATTAGGGACCACTGCCCCAGCCACCTTGTAAATAATGGGTGTATGGTACCCTGCTGTCTCTCTCCTGATCTGGGATGGAGGACTGCCCTTCACCTGCTCACTGCACCCCTGTTCAGGGATCTGTATGTAACACATCTCTTGACTTCCTTTGTGTGAGGGTACTGAAACTGCCTTCCCCAAAGCAGCCCTGGGATTTTCACTTCTCTAGAGTGTTACCTACAGACTCCGTGTGGGTAGCCTGTGAACCCTAATTTAGACAGTCATAAACTGCATATTCCTTTTTTTTTTCTCTTGAGAGAGAGAGAGAGTGAGAAGGTGCAAGTGAGCGAGGGGCAGAGAGAGAGGGAGAGAGAGAGAATCCCACAAGCTGCAGAGAGAGAAGCGGGGCTCATGCTCACCCGATGTGGGGCTCAAACTCACAAACCGTGAGATCGTGACCTGAGCCTAAGTCAGATGCTTAGCCTACTGAGCCACCCAGGAGCCCTAAGCTGCATATTCTCTCTTTTTTTTTTAATGTTTTTATTTATTTTTGAGAGAGAGAGAGAGACAGCATGAGCAGGGGAGGGTCAGAGAGAGAGGGAGACACAGAATCAGAAGCAGCTCCAGGCTCTGAGCTGTCAGCACAGAGCGCAACGCGGGGCTCGAACCCACGCACCGTGAGATCATGACCTGAGCCGAAGCTGGACGCTTAACCGGCTGAGCCACCCAGGCGCCCCACCTAAGCTGCATATTCTCAACACACCACCTCTGGTTTCCAGTCCCTGCTGCCCTGGGAGGGTTTTAGAGGAGATTTGGGGAAACACCAAGTCTCCCTCCCGCAGTCCCCTTGCCCTCCCAAGGGTCTGCCTTTGGTGCCTGCTTCCCCCCTCTTTACTCTCACACATCTAATTCCATTTTGACATCTGCTTCTCAGAGGACTGTCCTCTGGGCGTGTCCAGGCTCTCCTCCTCCATGGCCAAATAAACCCTCAGAAGAGAACCTGGAATTCCTTCGCGACCGGGAATAGTGCCATAGGCTTGACCTTGGTGTGGCTCTTCCCAGGATACCTGGACTCAGACCTTCCCCTCAAGGAAACGGCCAGTGACAGCAGGGCTTCAGATGGAGGCAAGATTCTAAGGCTTCCAAGCCCTGCCCCTCAGGACATGAAGCAGGAGCCACCGAGGCACTCATACCTGGGGCCAAGTCTAAAAATCATGGTGTCTTTATTGTGATGATGGCAGTTTCCTAGGAGGAGCAAATGTGGGGTGTTGGGAGTGGCAACACAGGCCACTCTAGAACCATCTTTACCCCTCCCCTGTCCTCAGCCAGAACAGAGACCGAATGAGGTCCCAGCCCCAGACTCCAGCCCAGGGAGGGGCTATGGGAGTGGGGTCAGGGTCAAAGGTCACATGGAGCCCAGTGACCGTCAAGGCACCTTGGGCAAAAGGCAGAGAAGGGGCCCCCGTGCAACCCCAGGTACCCCAACACAGCAGAGGGGAATTAGCCTGGGGCCTGGAGTGTGCAATCCTCAGATCCCAGCCTTAGACTCCCCCTAGAAAGGGGTGAAGGAGAGGTGGGGGTGCTAGTCCTGAGGCCGACCCGAGCACCGAGCCCCGCTGAGCCCCAGCCCAGGGCGGCACAGGCCAGGAGAGCCCAGGGCGCTGGTGAACGTCAGTGGGGGCTGGGCTGTGCAGGGGGAAGGGGAGCCAGCAGGCACCTAAGGGCTGCCGCACCCCCAGCAGAGTCCAGAGAGCCCGCTGCTGCTTGTGGGGATTCGGGTGGCTCCTGGGAGAGGAGTCTGGAGGCAGCCTTGCTCTGGGCCAGTCGAGGCCAAGTTCCAGAACAGCGGGACCAGCCGCTGGAAGGGTGGGGGGTGAGCCACGTGAGGGTCAGGAGGTCATCCTCCAAGACAGACGGGAGTCGGCAGGGCGGCTGGCCCAGCCAGGAGCCCAGGGTCACCTTATTTGCAGTACTCCTTCCTGAAGTCTGGAAGCCAAGCGGAGCAGGTGGGGTAAACACAGGGCAGACACCCAGCAGGACCGCCCAGGGACCCCTGCGCTCGCTCGCGAGCGTGGATGCCGTGAGGTTCAGCCCGGCCCTCCTGGCCACTCACCTTTGTCCAAGTCGATGTACTTGGCGGGCAGTGGGCTGTGGGCCAGCTCAGCCCTCTCCTTCAGGATGTTGTTTTTGTAATCTGGTGTAGGGAAAGAGCAGGGTGAGCCTCCCCTCCCCCTTCCCGCCCCGGGGATGGCCCTCCCCTAGCCCAGGCCGTCTTGGTTCTGGGGCCGCCCTCACCTAGTTGGATATCCTCACTCCTGTAAAGAGCCTGGTCTCCTGTGGCCACAGCAAACTCTGCCATGTTCACATCCTTCCTGGAGGGGGGCGGGGTGGGTGGTTAGGGCAGACGGTGGGGTGGGGGTGGCGGGGCTGGTCCCCGGCAGAGCCCAGAGGGGACACTCACCCCTTCGGCTTCCCTGACTTCTCGCTGGAGTACTCGTAGCCTGGGGAGGGAGACTCGCGTTGGGTGCAGTCTGGTCCCTCCCCAGCCCCCCCCTCCCGGGCGCTGAGGGGCCTTCGCGTCCCTGCTCACCCCGCCTCGCCCCCGCTTCCCGCTGCTGGTCGGGAAAGGCTGCGCGGCGCCGGCCCGGAGAGCCCAGCTCACCCCCGCGGCGGCGCTGGCGGGTGGCCAGGACGACGGTGACGAGCAGCAGGAGGAAGAGCAGCAGCGTGGCCAGCACGTAGCCCAGCTGCTGGAAGAAGTGCGCGCGGCCCTCGGGGACGATGACGTTGATGACGCTGCGGCCGCGCGCCAGCGTGGGATCTGCGCGGGCCGAGCGGGAAGGCGTCAGGGGGCGCGCAGCGGGTCTGGGCAGCGGCCGCGGCCCGCGTGGACCCCCCCCCAACGTCCAGGTCCCGGGGGGAGGCGGCCCGCGGGAACCCCCCCCAACGTCCAGGTCCCGGGGGGGGGGCGGCCCGCGGGAACCCCCCCCAACGTCCAGGTCCCGGGGGGCGGGGGCCCGCGTGGCACCTGGGCCGGGCGCGCCGCCGTGGCTGGAGCCGTTGCCCGGCGAGCCCCGCGGCGGCGGCGGCGGCGGCGGCGGGGCCGGCTCGGTGACGCGCAGGTGGAAGACGCGGCGCTCGTGCAGGCCGCAGTAGTGGTGGTGCAGGTGGCAGGAGTACGTGCCCTCGTCGCCGCGCTCCAGCGGGTCGATGCGCAGCGAGAAGTCGCCGCGCGCAAAGGCGTCCGCCGCCACGGCCACGCGCTCGCGCAGGAAGGGCGGCCCGTAGGCCCGGCGCTCCCCGGAGGCGTAGAGGTCCAGCAGGCGGTCGGCGCGGTCGTGCGGCACCCCGGGCGGCTGCCGGTCCCAGTGCACCACCTGCTGCGCCTCCTCCAGGTGCCGGTCGGTCCACACGTGCGCCCGGTTCACGCAGGTCAGCAGCGCGGGCGCGCCGCGCTCCGCCACCAGCACCTCCTTCTCGCCGTCCCAGTGCGCGCCGGCCGCCCGGGCTGGGGGTGCAGGGGGGTCAGCGCGGGCGGGCGGGCGGGCGGGGGGGGGGGTCCCGGCGGGGGCGCGTCGCGGGGGCGGGGCGCACTCACGATCGTCCGTGACCTTGAGGCGAATGGCCAGGGTCTCGTACAGGTGGCAGTAATGGTGGTGCAGGTTACAGGTGTACAGCCCCTCGTCGGCCTCCTCCACCGCTGCGACCGGCAGAAAACCCGGCGGTGGGGTGCGCGGCCGGCCCGCCCCCGCCCCGGCCCCTGCGGCCCCGCCGCGGCCCCCGGGCCCCTTACCGCGGATGAGCAGCGAGAAGTTGCCGTCGTGGAAGGCGGAGAGCGGCAGCAGGAGGCGGCCGCGGTCGCGCGGCTCGTACACCCGCTGCTCGCCCGCCGAGTACATGTCCACGAGCCGGCGCGCGGGGCCGCCGGGGCCGCCGCTGAGGTCCCAGTGGACCACGCGCTGGCGGTCGTGCAGCCGGTCCTGCGTCCACACCATCCTCGGGCTCTGGCAGCGCAGCACCGCCAGGGCGCCGGCCGCCCAGCTCACCGTGGACTCGGACACCACGGAGCTGGCGGCCGGCGCGGGCCCTGAGGGCACTGGCGAGGAGGGGGAGTCAGGGGGAGGGAGGGACCCAAAGGGAAGGTATAGGGCGGGTCTGGCAAGAGGGGAGGGTCGTCACTAACCTGAGGACAGAAGGACAGCAGAGCCTAGAGAAGGGAGAGTCACATGCGGGGGGGCAACCTGAGCGTTCACATCTAGGTCATCCACCCAGCCCTGGGCCCCCACACTTGGATCCCTGCCGCCCTCTATAGTCCCTACTGCAGTGGGCGTTAACGATCGCCTGCCTGACAGGTGGGGCTAAAAGTCAGCCGGGCAAAGTGGGCGGAGGGGGGGTCTCCCTTAGCCCCACAAGGCACAGGCACCTCTCCCACGGCCCCCGCCCAGTCCCCACAGCCCCCTCCCCGGGTTGTGGGACAGCAGTTGCCCTTCTGGGGCTGAAGAGTGGGGCCAGCTCTGGAGGGTGCGTGTCACCAACAGCCACCCTCAGAAACGGCGGCTCTGTCACCATCACTGCAGCAAGGCCGCCGGAGCACCAAAGCCCGATACCCAAGGCTGGTTTGGGGGCTCCTGCGCATTCATATCCCACGTGGTAGGTGCACCTGCCAAGGGCCATGCCACTCAAGCCTCCAAGGGTTCGCAGACAGCTGGGGCCCTGCCCCACGCCCAGTGCTCAGGGTTGCAGCCCCCTCAGCCATCCTGAAGGGCAGAGGTCTGAGGCACAGGCAGGCTGGACCGTCCGCACCCCACAAGCAAGTTCCTGCTTCAGAGATGGGCTGAGCGCCCGGGACCAGGAGGAATGTGCCGGGTCAGCAGGCCAGCCCGGGAGGCGGGCTCAGGGGGCCTAGCAGCCAAGGGGGCTCTGGGACAGACCCTGTGAGAGGGACAGACAGTCCCTCTGGGACTCCCAGGCCCCCTAAATCCCCCAGCCTACTCCTCGTGCAGACCTGAGGGGCTTCCTGGAAGAGTGGGGTGCAGGAGGGACCCCAGCGAGAGGCACCGGCCACCTCAGCCTCTGGCTCCCGAATCCGTTAATCCGCGTGAGGGGAAGTTCTGGCGGAGACCCCACACAAACCCTCACACCCCCTTGGGTGAGCCCTTGTCCTGGTGAGCTGCTCCCTTGAGGCCCCCCACCCTTCCCGGCGGGGTTGGAATGTCCCACCCCTCGGCACTCAAGCTCAGACCCTAGGCTTTGCCCCGAACATAAGCTCCCAAAGACCCGCCTGTGCGTCCACTCCGGACCCCCACCCGCCCCGCACTCACTCTGCAGAAGCAACAGTTCCCAGAGCAGGACTTGAGACCGCAGCTCCATGGCGCCTGCCTGGCCCGCCTGCCTCGCTTTGTCTCACTTCTGCTCCAACTCTCCAGAAAAACAGCCCGGCCCCCTCCCCCTCCTTAGCACCCGCCATGACATCACGGAGCCCTGGGCCGGGTCGACAGTCTGCAGACCGCCCCCTCTGGCTCTTGCTGGCCCCTAGTCCTCCCCGAATCCTTGGCTGGCCTGGTGGGGAGGGTTAGGAAAACGGCCACTGTGTCCGACAAGGTGAGGGGGGTCTGAGCAGCCATCCGGCCCGGGGGGGCCTCAGGCCCTTGGGGGGAGGGGGGCCAGCAGCCCAGCCTTCAGCCGGGCACGAGGGCTGAGGGCACAGCCCTAAGTGGGGGCGGCTGTGACATATGAGGCCTTTCTGGGGCTGCTCCAGGGCTGGGATTCTGGGTTGTACATCACCTCCCTTCCACCTCTGTAGGACCCTGGCCCTGGGGGTTCCCCTGCGTGGACAGCCTGGCCATCCCCTCTCTGTGCCTGCTGTGTGGGTCCAGGCATCCGTCTCAGCAGAAAGGCATCCTGGGGCTTGGGGACCCCCGAGGAGCCCCAGCTGCCAGACCTAAAGCTCTCCCCCTTTGCCTCCTCTGGGGGCTGCATTTCTTCATCTGTAAAAGGAAGAGAACAGTAACGTCCAGCCCAGAGGATTTCCTTAGGACAGCACAGTGGGCCCTGCTCTTGATCGGTCATCTTTACCACCCAGGGGAGCCTGCCAGGGCACGAGGGTGGGTGGGGACCCTGAGCACTGAAGGGCCAGCGTGTGACCAGCCCCTCCACCCTGGCCTGGACACCACCCCCACCCCACCCCCGCCATCTGCCCACCATCAAGGACAGTGCTTGGTGTCCCTGAAACCAAACCCTGACTAAGATCCTCCCTGGAGCACCTCCTCCTTGCGGGGGGGGGGGGCGGGGAGGAGGGAGTGGGAGCCTCCCCCACGGAAAGCACAAATTTGAAGCTCTGGGAAAAATTACAAAGTCACATAAACAAATGCGAAATAACAGAGCACACACTGTGTACCAAACCCACTCTTTCTAGTTAAGCAAACCTCAAAAAGAAAAAAAGGAAGAAAAAAATCCAAACAACCACAAAATCTCCACAGTGCATTTTTTAGACTGCCCATTTGAATAGAATTATGGTCACAGGCCCCAGGCTCTGGTGGCTGGGATCTCACCCTTGAACGCTGTCCTGGTCTCCAAGTCCTCAGACAAGCAAGAAATCCAGCCCAGCCAGACCCTTAGACTCCCAGTCAGCTGAGGCGGCCACCACTGCCACAGGGACAGTGAGGGCCAGACAGGGGGAACAGCCATGGGGATGTGAAGAGGCCCCCACCCACCCAGACCTAATGGACCCATTTCCTCAGCACGACCCAGGGCCTGGGGGTTGGAGCCCCCTTTCCAAACTGGAATCAGCGCTTCTCCTGGCCCCAGCCCCTCCCTGGGCCTTTCATTCTGGAAAAACAAGCCCAGCCTGGCTGGCCTTGAGGCCTGGCCTCTCCTCTGTTTTTTTAACTGGTTTACATTAGCTGGTGACCTCCCTTCTCTGGGCCCCGCCCATGTCTCTCCGTCTCTGTCCTGTGTTCCCGCCTCTGTCTGCCGGGCTGTCTGTCCTCCATGGAGGGAAGATGTCCAGGCAGTGCTGCAGGGAGGCAGAAATGGCCCAGGGCTGGTTCCACTGTCTGGAGGAGGACCACGGGCAGCTCGATCCCTGAGCAGGGAGCCTGTCGGTGCTGCGTAGGTTCCCTGGCCTCAGGCCCTGCACGCCCTCGAAGTCCGGACTCAGCCCTCAGCTCGGCCCAAGTGCAGCAGTCTGAGGGGGGCGCCCCTGCGGGGAAGCTGACCCCCGTCACCACTGGCCAAGAAGGGACAGAGGCAGTGGAGGGCTGGAACCCCCTTTCCCTGCCCCTTTCTGCTTGAAGCCACCACAACCAGAGTCAGCAGCGCAGGGCCGCTGCTCCCGCCCTGGCTCTTGGCAGGAAATAGCCACAGATGAGAGCGGAGACCCCGCAGGCCACCTTGCCCCTCCTCCAGCGGAGGCCCAAGGCCTTCTGCTCGCTCCTTCCCGAGGCCTGAGGCCTGTGGGTTGCTCATTTCCCGGTGTCGCCTGGCACCGCCGTTTTCCCTCGGGAAGGGAACCGACCAGGACAAAACAAAACCACTGACATCACCTTGGTCCCACCCTGAACGCTGGCCAATCCCCCGGCCAGACCAGAGGCCCGGACCCACCTCCCCTCTCCTCGGAGGCGTGGCTGGGCGAGGCCGGGGTCAGCCCCCCGCCCGACTGAGACTCAGCTTCTGGCTCCTCTTCCCGGGGACTTGGACATTCCAGGCAGCCAGGCGCACTGGGAGGAGAAACCACAGGCACTCAGAAACGCCACCAGCCACAACCAGACACAGAGCCACGTGCTCACACCCACGGATAATGTCACACACTCACGCACCAAGTATTTGCTGAGCGCCTACTGTGTGCCAGGGCACTGCGAGCTGCTGGAGCCGGACGGACAGCCGGCGGGCCTGCTCACTGGCAAATAAGATCATTTTCATCTCTGGGAGAAGTGCTGTCCGGAGACGAAAACCGGGCAGGGTGTTGCTCCTCGGGACTCACCAGGACAGCCTCTGAGGGAGGGACATCCCTGCCGGCAAACGTCTGTGCGGCCGGAAGGCCTCGCCCGGGGAAGCCACCTCCCAGGTGAGAGAGCAGAGCCTTGCGCACAGGGAGGTCTGTAGGGGCTGCATGAGCCACACGGGGGTTTGCAGGGTCCAGGTGAGGAGGGTGTGGTCTGGTGATGCAGGAATTCGAGACGGCTCAGCGCTGGTAGGGTTGACGTGAATGCACATGACTGCGCTGGCCTGCAAGGACCAGGCGGCGTGCAGAGCGGTGAGGTGCCCCCCCCCCGCCCCTGCCATGCCCTCCCCTTCAGTGTGGGCAGGAGCGGTGACACGGCCCGAAGAGCCTTTTGCACCCACGTGACAACGTGCCGGGACGTCACTGTCTGACGGTCTCCGTCACGGCTGGCCGTTGTGTGAAAGGGCCCTTGGAGGGGATCTCAGGAGCTGCCCCCAGCCAACCGGCCGAGAAGAAAATGGACCTCAGTCCTGCAACCGCAGGGAAGGGGATGCTGCCGGCCCCCCTGCCACGTGGGTGCGGACCCCGAGGGCCCAGAAGGCTCGTATCCGGGCGTCAGGCCCCGGGGAGCCATGTGATCGCCAGTGTGTGGCGTGAAGTGGCCAGCCTGTGGCAGCGCGTGGGAGGGCGATGGAAGGCCCAGGCCTGGTCTCCCAGAACAGAGCAGGGCAGGGCTCACACCAGCCAAAGGCACAACTTTCACAAGGAAAAGGGGCCAGTTTCCAGTTTGGGGACCGGCTGCCGGCAGCAGAGCCGGTGTGGGCAGACCCCAGGCCGCTCAGGAACCGTGTCGATGTGTCAGCAACACGAGGCTGGCTCCGCGGGTCACTCCCCACAAGCTCCCCCAATGCCACGGACAGTCTCTGCCAGCTCTGACCAGTTCTGGGGAGGGGCCGCTTGCCCGCGCGCGGGTCCCTCTCCCGGAGGCGCCACGGTTTGCCATGGTGTCGTGTCTCCCAGCACGAGGCGGCAAACCCGCACAACCTGGGCGTGTCCCTCAGGAGGGCTGCTGACCGGGAGGGACAGACCGTGAGCCGCCCTCTCGTGAGGACCACAGGCCAGATGAGAGATCGTCCAGACATGAGACTGTGATTCAAAAACACAAAGTCCGGAGATATAGAAACCTTGTTTCAGGGACCAGCCGATGCTTTCATCCCGAGAGAATGTCAAGCAACCAGGACCGCAGATTTTTCCGGTCGTGGTCAGCCCCCCATCAGTGGCTTCCCGCCGCGGCATCGTTAATGGGGTGCTCTCCTCACTGGCCCGCTCTGTCTGTGGCGGCGCTGCCAGTCGGCCGATGATGCGAAGAAGCCCGTTTGGTCTGCAGCTGGTGAGCCAGAGCCCCGCCCCCGGCTCCAGGGCCGCGTGCGTAAACGCGCAGGAATCACTTCCGGGCTGGCCTGACAGGCCGTGAGTGCTGAAGTCAGGAGCCAAGAACCGATGATTTGGTTCCAGTGGACTCCGCCTGCGGTGCCTGCGACTGTGCGGGTGACCTCCGCCCGCGAGATGCCCACGTCCCGGGTGTCCCGGGAAGGGGTGCCCTCCCCTGGCACACGGCCGTCCGCCTCCCTCTGCAGTGCCCCGCCCCCACGGGCTCTGCAGCCTGGGGGCTCCCAGCACTTCACGTGCCCGGCACCCCCACCTGCCCCTGAAGTCGAGGCCGCCGCTTACTCTCCCCGTCGTGGGGATCTAGAACCAAGCTGAATGTGCTCCTGGGCCGTCTGCCTTGAGCTCCGGCGGAGATCAGCCTGAGAGCGAAAGGGAGGCCCCAAAGCAGCCGAGTCTGGATGAGAGTCATGCTCTTCCTCATCCAGGGAGGAAGCAGCTGGTGTGGAGGGGCCCGGAGCCCTGACGTGGGCCCCAGGGACAGCGGGGCAGGTGCCCCCCGCTATGGTCATATGACAGCTTGCCCAAGGAGGCTGTTCCCTACAGCGTCGCCGGCCAAGAGTACCTGAAACAGCCTCTCACATACAGGCCCTCTAGATCTTTCTTGCAGAAGAGTCCACTTCTGACTTGCGGTTTGTGGCAGGTAAGTATGAGGAAGCCCCAAAGGCCCGCAGCCGGCCAGCTGGACAGCACAGCCAAAGGTCAGAGAGCAGACCTGTCTTCAGCTGTAACGTACTTTCCAAGGGTTTGGTCAACAATCGCTCTGAGATGAAGACCGTGTGATGAGCTTGGGGGACACTACAAACTGCCGGGGGGTTTTCTGTTCGCGTCCAGGGTCCCGATTGTCGCTGACTGGCGAGGGCACCGAACGGAAGCAAAGCCGGTCTGTGGGCGTTACTATGCCGGTCCTACCCATGGACATGAACGTGCACCGTTGCTCAAACGTAGCAATAATGACGGCATTGCTTTTATGTATTAGCAGCCTAGGAAGGTGGAGCAATTTTTATTTGACTTCCCCACAGTACAGCAATTTTTATTTGACTTGCTTACACCACAGCGACGATAAACCGCCTACTTACCTGTACTATCCCTCCCTTTATACACTCAGAGGGTGGCCTTTGCTGCCACAGCTGCGGGAGCCCAGGAGGCGGGTGACGCGGAGGGCATGCTGCCAGCTTTGCGGTTTCTGACTTTCGGGAAGGCAGCGCCAGGCGCAGGAGGGGCCACGTAGGAACGCGGTCGCCTCGGCTGTGGTTTTAACCAGGGCGACAATATCGCCGGCAAGCGCAAGGGTAAGCGATTGCCAGGAGCGTTGTCCCTCTTAGATGTGAAGACGGTTTGGTAAGACACACTCGAGCCACGGTGGGGATCGGCCCGAGACCGAGGAGGGGCCCCAGGGAGGCTGAGCTGGAGTCAGAGACGTTTTTTCCTGATCCAGAGAGGTGGCAAGCATTTTCCTTTCTCTTCATTACGTACACATTTTCTCAACTTAACAACGTTCCTCTACCTTTGTGTGTTTGCGTGTCCAGAAACGTTTATATTTTAGATAAGGTGTTTAAACTGTCAGCTTCAGGTTACCTGTACTCAGCTGTATGTATCACACGGCTTGTATATCACATTAGCTTTACCATCCAAACAAGACCACGTGAAACAAGAAAAGTGTTTTATATCGTGGTCACCACTTCTGTAGTCTCGATCTTTGGGAATTTCGATGTATAGCCAGATATTTCTTGTAGCCTTTGATGCATAACAA